GGAGAGGCCGGAAGCGTGAACGACTGGGTGATGCCCTCCTCACGACAAAATTCCTTAAGAAGACCGGAGGAAAACTCACCTCCACGGTCAGAGTGCAGTCGCAGTACCGGGAGGTCCTGCTGGAAACGCGTCCTCAGCTGGAGACGAACAGCGCGAATCCAATGGATCAAAACACTACGGACCTCGCCCTTGCTCCGCAAGGGAAACACTGTGGTGTAGCGCGTGTAGTCTTCAACGACCAGCAGGAAGTAGCACTCACGACCCGGCCCAGGGACAGGGGCGGGGCCCCACACGTCCATGTGCAGGGTCTGCAAAGGAGCAGTGGTAGGAGGGAACGTGGCAAGGTGATCGCCAGTCACTGTGTCCGTACAGATCGCCACGAGCTTGCCCGCAGGATTGGTGGTCGTGACCAGCACATCCTGGAGGGCAGCCCGACTCACTTAGTTCGTAGCGAACGAAGGGATGTGGAAACATGTGAGGGAGCCAGAGGGGGCTGCCGGACACGGGAGAACAGTGGTGCTGCGTGCAACGACTGGGCCGCCATAGGGGTCAGCCAGAGTGACAGGGAGGGGTGTCGTGAGCGGTGTGACTGTGGTTCAGTCACGAAAGAAGCACCTCGACGCGCCAGAGTCCAGTGTGAAAGTGTGCAACGCTTGCTCAGGGACTGTACCCGCGCTGGCAGTCGCATAAGCACCTACACTAGCAGCCTCTACACTACCAGACGCAGCCACCTGGGCCGCTGCACCTGAGCTCCACCTCGACTGCCACCATTGCCATGTCCTCCACCCCCGGTACTCTCAATGCCTCCACCACCTCCGCCACTCCCACCCTGACCGCCACCTCCACCACCTCGGCCAACCCCACCGCTACCGCAACCTCCACCACCTCCGCCGCCCCACCCCCTCTGACGCCCACCCCTGCTGCGGCACCTCCCTCGAGAAGGAGACGCATGACCGACCTCCTCAGCACCGAGGATGTCAACAGCAGTAGCAGGGACAACAGAGGGCGCGAGAAGGGAGGGGGAGCACCCTTCAAAGAAGGAGAGGCTAGGAGAGCCACGGGAGGCAGCTACAGCGCGGGCACTGGTCTCAGCCTCGAGGAGACGGGTCTCAAACGAGGAAAGGGTGAGTTCAGTGAGGTCTAGGGAGAGGAAGCGGTCTCGAACGGTGCGAAGAGATTCATGTAGGCGAGTCGTGAGGAAGTAGAGGGTGAGATACATGGGGGGCTGGTTCCCAGCCAGAAAGTCTGGCCGAAGAGCAGCACGGTACCGGGTGTCAAGGGAGCGCAGGTGAGACATGAGGTCGGCTACAGTGGTGAAGTCAGACAGCTCAGGGAAGAGAAACGGCAGTGCAAGGCGGCCTAGGGTGGCAGCAGAGGGGGAGGAGTAGCGTCTAACCGCAGCGTCGTAGAGAGCCTGGGCCGACGTCACCTGGCGAAAGTGGGCCAACTTGTCGAGTGGTAGGTGAGCGCGGACAGCGAGCCGAGCTGTGGCGTCGCGTGCCGTCCACCATGTGCAGGCAACGCGGTCAGCCCGGTACCGGTGCTGCACCTCCTCCCCAGCGTTAGTAGTGGGCTCAGCTGGAGTCGCAGGGGCTGGAAGGGACCCCGACGTGTGCTCGAACAGCGAGACGTCATGGCTAGTGACACTCTGGAGGTACAGGTGCAGGCCCTCTAGCCAGGACTCGAACTCTAGAGGGTGCCCCTTTGCGTCAAAGGCTAGAACAGTGATTGTCGACATGGCAGGTGGCGTTGTGTAGCGGCAGCGGGCCGGCCCGTGGGTGGTGCACCGGCGGCAGCGCAGTCCGCGCTGCGGTGTACGGGCGGTAGCGGCGGCGGTACGCTGGTGGCAGCAGCGGCGAGGCGATCGCGTGCGTGGCAATGCAGGGTGGCGTGCGCTGGTAGGGCAGCGCGGGGGCGCGTGGGGCAGCAGGGCGCACGGGGCGCGTGGGGCAGCAGGGCGCGCGAGGTGCGGGGCAGCAGGGCGCGCAGGGCAGTAGGGCGCGCGGGGCGCGGGGCAGCAGGGCGCGCGGGGCGCGCAGGGCAGCAGGGCGCGCGGGGCGCGCGGGGCAGCAGGGCGCGCGGGGCAGCAGGGCGCGCGGGGCGCGCAGGGCACGCGGGGCAGCGCGAGCGGGTGGGGAAGCGGCGCACGCGCGGGGCAGCGCGAGCCCACGGGGCAGCAAGGCACGCGCAGGGCGGCACGCGCGTGCGGGGCAGGGCAGCGGGGGCAGCGCGAGCGGGCGGGGCAGGGCAGCGCGCGGGGCAGTACGAGCTGGCGGGGCAGGGCAGCTCGATCGTGCGCTCGGGGCAGAATCTAACGGTGTGCCCTAAAAAACGGTCCTTGGGCAGTACATGCTCTGAAACCATGTCGAAACTAAGCAGAAGGAATGATTGAACTAGAAAGGGTTATGATACAAGTTCTAAGGGCGTGGCACCATTTTGCTCCCGACGGTTCGAACCGTGGACGGTCCAAACTGCGAAAAGGTGACCAGCTTCGTTTAATTTCGGAAATAGTTTCGTGAAAGTATTTGCGACGTCGCCAACGGTTCGAACTGTCGCGTCACTTTTCCCTCCTCACAACAATTCAGAGTCTGAACTTTTGGCGGTTTGAATACCGAACGGACGGAAGAACAGTGCTGCTACGGGATTGGCGCGCAAACAGCACAGAAAAAAAAAACCGAGTCGCCTCGTCTAATTTTTGGGGCACGCGACTCGAACTCAAACATTGGACGGTGACATCGAACCGCGCTACTGGGCTACAAAACCCCCACAAATCCGAACCGAACCATCACAAAGGACCACTCTTGTGCAGATAGGAATACGGAACTGCGACCCACCACACCCAACTCCTCGCCAAGTCCTCCACCTCATTATACTTGGTTCAATGTCTGGTGTGCTGGAAAACTGTTTTTGTTGGTGTTCGAGTCGCGTATGCTGATTGGCGAATGTTGCGAGCGGTCGTGAATTTGGTAACGACTGTACAGTATTCATGGCGATGCTACAGTACCTCGTCAAAACCCTAGACTCAGAAAAGTGACAGCTTTGTGTCAGAATGTACTTGTATACATTACTATAACTGCTTGTAGTGTAGACCTAGTGTAGCTCTATGTTCTTGTTTGGTGGTGAACCTTTCTTGATTCATGCCTATTTGTACTGCTCGCTCAATAGTGAACAACCTCTTTTGGCTAATCTCTCGACCCCTTCCTCTCGTAACTCTCGTTCTACCCTCAACCCAAGTCCTAAGTCAACTTAGGCTTCTGACATGGTTTCAGAGCACTTAAGCTCCTAAGACCTGTTGTCCATGGGCCCACCGCCGTTATTTTCTTGCTCCTGCATGGCGCCTTCGCCCCCATTCGATCCCTGCTTCGTGCTGCCCGTCGCGCAGCTTCCGTCCGTCACGCTGCCCGTGACGGCGAGCTGCGCGATGGCGCCAGATGCGGCCCCGTTTCGGCCCCCTCGTCGCAGCCCGTCCGTCCCTCGCTGCCCCGGCCCGTCCCGTCCCCGTCGAGCGGTGCGCAGTGCGCACAGCCGCACGCTCGCAATCGCGAACGCGCAGCTGCACGCACGTCACCAGTCGCGCGCACGACTGCAGCGAATTGCGCAGCTGCAGCCGCACGCGCAGCAGCAGCCCCTCGCGCGACTGCAGTGTCACCTGCAGCTGCAGCCACACGCGCAACTGCAGCCGCCTGCTGCACCCCCGCCCGCCATTTTTCCCCTTTCTCACTGCTGCTCGTGCACCAGGGGGGGGGGGAGGGTGTTGGGGGGCGGGGTGTGACACGCCAGCAGCCGTCCCTCCACCTCTCCACTCCTACTGCAGTGTGGTGGGGGGGAGGGTGAGGGGGTGGCAGGGATGACCAGCATTCGCCAGCCCACCTCCTCTCTCTTCCTGTCGCCCCTCCTGGGGTGGGGGGGAGGGGAGGGGGGGGGGGAGGGTGAGGGGGGTGGCTGAAAGGGGGTGTGGAATTAGGGGGTTAGTAAGAGGGGCTCGCCGCGCTAGGCTCCCCCCCACCTCCTCTCCTCCCTCTCTCACCCCCCCCCCCCTTTGTAAACAGGGGGTTCGTAAGAGGGGCTCGCCGCGTGGCTCCCCCACCTCCTCTCCTCATCCCTCTCTCATCCCCCCCCTTCGTAAAACGGGGGTTCGTAAGAGGGGCTCGCCGCGTGGCTCCCCCACCTCCTCTCCTCATTCCTCTCCTCTCCCCTCTCTCTCTCTCGTCTCCTCCTCCTCGCATTCCTCTCTGCCGTCTTCCGCTGCGCTTGGTGTACCCCTTCCGGGGGTGTTTCTGCACATGGTTCTTCACTGCAGGCAGTTAGGGGGTGTGTCAGAATGTACTTGTATACATTACTATAACTGCCTGTAGTGTAGACCTAGTGTAGCTCTATGTTCTTGTTTGGTGGTGAACCTTTCTTGATTCATGCCTATTTGTACTGCTCGCTCTATAGTGAACAACCTCTTTTGGCTAATCTCTCGACCCCTTCCTCTCGTAACTCTCGTTCTACCCTCAACCAAAGTCCTAAGTCAACTTAGGCTTCTGACACTTTGCATCTGAACGGTGCAGAGTTTCGAATTTTCACAACGGACTGTTTGGTACTTGATACTTGGACGGTCCGATACGAAATATGTGGACCGTCCTAAAAAACACTAAAAATCAAAATGGTGCCACGCCCTAACTCTTGAATGTGTTGTACCCCATATGGTGTGCCCCACTATAGCCTAGCAAACACATTTGCAATTTGACATAAAGGTTCTAAAGGGTCAAGAAATTAACTGCTTTTGAGTGTACATCATCGTACTCAACCGCTTTTACTGAACAGAGATTGTGACAGAGACCTGACCCTCCCTCAAAATCCTCGTTCAGTGCTCGGCTCCACCTTTTTCCCCAACTCCATAGCAGATCTGAGGCACACCATCAAACCCCGTCTTGGAGGGGCATAATTCGTCCTTGTGAGTATTCCCCTGTAGTTTCTGCCCGTGATCCACGCCGTGGACGTACCACTTTGCCGCCATGGCAGATCAAGAAGAGAAGCCGTCGGCGGCGCTGGCTGCGGCTGAGCGAATCCGGCAGGCAACGTTGAAGGCCGCCAGCAAGGGAATGTCTCGCGCGCAGGCAGAGAGGGCTGCGACGGCTGCTGCTCGCAACGTGAATGCGTATGGGCAGAAGGAGGAAGGGCCGAGCCGCTGGCAGGAGCGCAAGGAGGCGAAGCAGCGCATGTACATGGAAAGTACGGAGCAGGCGGCGAAGCTGGGCACGCGCGTGGACGTGCGATCGGGCGCGGCCGGTGCGAATCAGCAGTGCCAGAAGTGCTTCAAGCCGGGCCACTGGACGTACGAGTGCAAGAACGAGCGCGTGTACATCGCGCGCCCCTCGCGCACGCAGCTGCTGCGCAACACCAAACTTCGCGACAAGTCCGCGCTGGCCGCGGGAGGGTTTGGCGGCGGGGAGGATGTCGGGTTTGGGGCTGAGCGGAGCTTCTTAATGGATCGGCGGTTCGAGGAGCAAGCGGCGATCGACCTAGCGAAGCAGAAGGAGATAGAGAAGCATCAGAAAGAGGAGGAGAGGAAGAGGAGGGCGGAAGAGAAGAAGCGGAAAGAGGAGGAACGGAAAATTAAGCGGGAGGAGCAGAGGAAGAAGGAGAAAGAGAGGCGGAAGAGGAAAGAGAAAGAGAGGGCGCGAAGGAAAGAGAAGGAGAAGATGCGGAGGAAGAAGCGCGGGAAGAAAAAGTATAGCGAGAGCGAGAGCGACAGTGATGAGAGCGATACGGACGAGAGTGATGACAGCGACACGGAGAGTGATAGCGAGAGTGCGAGCGGGAGCGAGAGCGAGAGCGAGACGGCGTCAAGTGGATCGGAGAGCGATTCTGAGAGTGAGAGTGATCGGCGGAGGAGGAAACGGCGTTCCCGCGGCGGTAAAGGGTCGCGCAAGAGAGGGTCGGGAAGGAATGGCGGGTCCCGCAAGAAACGACGCAGAGGCGGTGACGATGAGAGTGAGAGCGATAGCGAGAGTGAGAGTGATAGCGAGAGTGAGAGTGAGAGTGAGAGTGATAGTGAAGAAAGCGATAGCGAGGATGAGAAGTCAGGGCGGAAAAAGGGACGTAAAAGGGGAAAGGGTGGGAAGAAAGGAGGGAAGGGAGGCCCTGACGCGGCAGACGAGGAAGCTGTGACGAAGGGGAACGGCAGGGGGAAGGAGGAGGCCGGTGTGGGCGACGAGGAGGTGCGTATGGAGAAGCTGGCGGCGGAGGAGCGCGAGAGTGGCGCGGTGGAGGGCGGCGGGCGCGCGGGGCGAGAGAGGGGCGAGGCGCGGGCGCTGAGAGCAGGGGAGAAGGGGGAGAACGGGAGAAGCAGAGAGGGGAGCGAGGAGGAGCGGGACGAGAGGCGGCGGGACGAGGGCGTGGCGATGGGGGGCGAGGAGCGCAAGGCCAGGGGCCAGGCTGACGGTGGCGCGGACGCGCGGGGCGATGATGAGCGCGGTGGCAGGGGCTGGGAGAAGGAGAAGCAGGAGGGAGGTGCGAGGGGCGACGCAGAGAGGGGCGGCAGGCCCCGAGGGTGGAGTGAGAATGGCGATGGGGATGGTGCGAGGGTGAGGCGCGCGAGGCAGCAGCAGCACGCGGACGAGCAGCACCACAGCGCGAGGGAGGGCGGGAAGCGGCGCGATGCCGTGGCGGAGCACGACGAGCGCGAGGAGGAGGGGGGCGAGGCGAGGAGGGGAGCGCACGGTGGTGGGCAGGGCAGTGCAGGGGGGCGCGGTGTCAAGGGGCGCGCTGAGCAGCCGGGTGCGCATGGTGCACGGAGGACCAAGGATAAGGCTCGCAGGGTGATGGATAGCGGCAGTGGAAGCGAGAGCGAGAGTGATGAGGAGAGCGGGAGCGAGAGTGAGAGTGAGAGCGAGGAGAGTGAGGGGAGGCGTAGGAAAGGAGCAGGGAGGAGGGAGGAGAGGGGAAGAGGCAAGGGCAAGTGAAGACAAGCTTGTTGGACGAGCCTTTGCTGCCCAATCTGGTCAGCTATTGTCACTGCAATGCTCCTCTGTGCCATGATGTTAATTGTGCTATCCCTGCTTCATTCTCTTGGCATGAGCCTGAGAGCAAGCTGCATGCTTCTTAGCATCTGCTGGCTCTTGTGCCTTCACTCCACTGCTCCTTTTCTATGCTCCTGGGCCTGCCTCCCTGTGTGTCACAGCAGCATCCCCTGCTCTTCATGCCTGCTGTACGGCTGCTCTTGTCCGCCAGCATGCAATACCCCTCTCACCCGCCTGCTGCTGCTCGTACCCACCTTGTTTGCCCTGCCATGCACCGCTGCTGCTGACTTCAGTCAAGTGCCTTCAAACATTGTCCACATTGCTATTGTGCTTGGCCTTAGGCAGGCCTATTCACGGGCTTGGAATATTTCTGTGCTTCCTGCATTGTTTGTCTCACTTCCTCTCTCAAATTTTCTGCAAGCCAGCTACGTCAGCCTCAGATTTCAATGATTCAATCCGCCTTATTTTTGTTCTGAAATGTCTGTAGTTTTTGGTGTAAAGTAGCTGTTGCAGTGCAGATTAACTGATGTTGGCTAAATTCCACCCCATACACCTGTTTCTGGCACTCTCCACCACCCTCTTGTTGCCCTCCCCGGCATTCCATGGGTACACTTTTGTGTAAAAGCTGCTTTTCGGGAGGCATCAAAGGGAAAATATGTCAATGGTAACTTACATGGGGCATTATAACGCGTACGGTAACGATTTCAACGCGTTTGGTAACTCGCTTAACGCATTTGGTAACTCGTGTTACTAAACCCTGGTATTACACACTCCTCACCGCAGCAATCGGAGCACGTACTACCGAGAATGAAGACGGACAGGCGGAGGTGACACGAAGAGTCACACGGTTACGAAAGGATCTGGACCGTCGGGCAGATAGCATCAGGCAGCAGCAGTGGCGAGGATTCTGCCCGAACAGTTTCGTAACTGTCCGGAGTCGCACGGTTGGATTTCGCTGCAATAAGGGAATGTACCCCTTAGAGTACATGGCTAGCTAGGTCGATTGGTAATCCCTTGTAATCTTATTTATATCCTTTGTATTGCATGTTTTTATTATCTCAAGCATTTACATTCACTCTGCTATTGAGGTCAAGGGCCCACCACCACTAGACTAGAACTGTGCGAACCTTCCTGAGGTGATCCTGAGGGCGATCAACTTCTGATCACATCATGGTATGAGAGCGACTCAGGAATCCTTCGCACCGCCACCACCGAAATCTTCGGCGAACGAAAAGTGGCGTCCGGCACACGCTCACGTGTGAGAATGGCCGGAGGATCTGGAGGTCAGACAAATCTGACGGCTGAAGCGCAGCCCAACCCAGCTGCGACAAATGAGGAAACGGCGACAATCCCGTCCGTCGTCCTCGCACAACTGCTTCAGCGACTCACGAGCCTGGAGCAAGGGCCCCAAACATTGCGGAATGGCGACGCGGGAACATCTTCCCAACCCACTCAACCGGCCTCGAACGGCCAGAACTCCGCCCCGCAAGGCTTCTCTCTTGACACAAACGGCTCAACACCCAAGACTCCCTGTCCCAGCGATGAAGCAATTCTCTCTGCGCAATCAAGGTTTTTGAGCATATCAAAAATAAAGACAAGTGTGTGCTTTGACGGCAGAGACTTCTATACCTGGAGCTTCGAGCTGGAGCTGCTGCTGCAAAACGCGCAGATCTTTCACTACTTTGACGGGAGCTACTCGGGACCCACGGAGGAAACTGACGACGCAAAAACTAAGTACTACAACGAGTCCCTGATGGCGTATGGGGTCCTTCTTCGAAACATGTCGCCGACGGAGCAATTGAGCATCCGCTCATACAAAACCTCACCTGCTCCAGCCCTCAACGCCTGGCGCCACCTGAATGGTGTGTACCAACCGAAGGACTCAGTGTCGTCGAGCCGTCTACTCCAGCAGCTACTGGAGACCAAAATGGCACCAGGAGAGAAGGCCAACAGTTACCTGAATCGCTGTCGGAGCTTACGCGATCAAATCGCGAAATTGGGGAGCACGATTTCTGAGGAAATCTTCGTAAATATCGTGCTCCAAGGGCTCGGCCCCGAGTGGCGGCCCTGCAAGGCGCTTCTCCGACAGCAGGGGGTCATCTCGGAGGCCGCCCTTTGCGCCGCCCTCCTCGTCGAACAACGGGATATGGACCAGCAGCGACCAGCACCACGACGAGAGAGAGAACGTCTCGCCTTCTACGCGGACAACACGGAAGAGCGACGGCCGCGGCGCCTCTACTGCAAAATCTGCAGGAATTTCGGGCACTTGGCGGACCGATGCAAGCATCGATCTCGCCCTCGTCAGACCAATCCGAGCACCTGGTCCGGCCGACAAGACGCGAGGAACGACACGCGTCCCGCCCCGGGGTACCAACCCCCATCGCGTAACCTGAATCCAACAACTCAGCAGCAGCAGTCATCACAGACTGCCCCCGTCCGCAATGTCATGGGGAACATGACCATGACGAGCGGCTCTCGTCGCCCGCGCGCGCGCTCACCTTCACCCGAGCTGGCGCCTGACCCAATCGGAGCGTCCTCGAACAACAATCCGTTCAGCACGCATCACGACTTCAGCGACGACAACAACCAGGACTGGAATCTCCCAGTCCCGCTGCTTGAGAGCCCCCCGCACGTACCTGACATGCGGCCGGCACCGATCGACTGGATCGCACGCGAATAGTTCTTGAAGGTCGACACTCCGCACATCGTCACTCCGCGACTGGCGCTGCTCGCGCGAAACGACAACAGGCGCTACAACACATGGTACCTGGACAGCTGCTGCGGGCAGCACATGGTGGGCTCTGAGCGTTACATATCCAACGCCGTTGCCACCCCCGCCGTCACTTACGTCACTGTGGCGAACAACACGCGGCTGCGCGCAAGCGCGCAAGGCATTGTCGTGCTCAAGGCACATGGAAGCAGAACACACATCACCTTGAATGATGTGTTGATTGTGCAGAACCTCCGTTTCAACCTGCTCTCGGCGGCGCAACTCCTGGATTGCGGAGTCATCCTCAGCACCGACCCCGAGACGCGTGATATTCTGCTCCACTACACAGTGCCGAACAAGATGCGCAGGCAGATCGGACGGGCGCACGCCGAGAACGGAGTATACGTCCTCGACTTTGACATTCCCGACTGCAGCGGCGATTCGCAGGAGTTGATTGATCTCGTCCCCCTGCGCTTCGAACATATTCATCGCCGCGACTGGAAGCACCCTGATGGGCGCCCCTGGGTGCCTCACCACCCACATCCGCGCGAGCTGGCGCTACACGACCCTGATCCTGATGGCATCTGCAGGGACTGTCATGTCAGATTTATATGACATAGCTGCTGTAGGCTATAGTGGGGTAGCACATATAAGGTACAGTTTTCTAGGGTTTGCATTTGTACCAAACTTTCCCTTAGTCAATTCATTCTCGTTCAGTTTCTCATGGTATCGAGCAGGTTCCCCTGTGGGAACTGTTCCTAGGGCCCACCACATTTTTTTTCCTGCCCGGAGCGCGCTCTACACTGCCCGAGTCGCGCTCCCCTCTCTCGACCCTGTCGCGCCGCCTTAGCGGCCCAGTCGCGTCGCGCTTGCGGCCCCGTCGCGTCGCCCTCGCGGCCCCTTCCTGTCGCGCCCCCCTAGCGACCGCGTCGCGCCGCCCTCGCGGCCCCGATCCGCCGCCCTCGCGGCTCCGTCGCGTCGCGCCGCCCTCGCGGCCCTTTCAAGCCGCCCTCGCGGCCTCTTCAAGCCGCCCTCGCGGCCCTTTCAAGCCGCCCTCGCGGCCTCTTCAAGCCGCCCTCGCGGCCTCTCCTAGCCACCCTAGCGGCTCCGTCACCTACCCCTGCGGCCCCGGCGCCGCCCTTCCCTGCCTCGGCGCCACCTCTGCTGGCCCCGTCGCCTACCCCTGCGGCCCCGGAGCTGCCCTTCCCGGCCCCGGCGCCGCCTCTACTGGCCCCGCCGCCGCTCCACCTGGCCCCGACGCCGCTCCACCCGGCCCCGCCGCCGCTCCACCCGGCCCCGCCGCCATCCCCACGCGGCCCCGCCGTCACCACCGAGCCGCCGGCGCCGCCGAGCTGCTGCCGAGCCGCCCGATCCACCCGAGCCGCCCGAGCCGCCGCGCCACCTGAGCCGCCCGAGCCGCCAGGTCGCCGAGCCGCCGCGCTGCAGTTGCTGCCGAGCCGCTGTACCGCCGAGCCGCCCGAGCCGCCCGCGCCGCCGCGTCACCGAGCCGCTGTTGCTGCCGAGCCGCTGTACTGCCGAGCAGCCCGAGCCGCCCGAGCCGCCCGAGCCGCCGAGTTGCCGAGCCGCCGAGCCGCCGAGCCACCCGAGCCGCCCTGTCCGGTAAGAGCAGCGCCTCTGTCACTGCACTGCCCTTACCCTACTGTTCGCACTGCTAGTCTACTGCTATCATGGCTACCCCTAGTGTCCTCGCTTTTGACGCTGAGGGTCGGGCCATTGACTTTGACGTCTGGGTAGATGACCTGCAGCTTTTCCTACAGTGCGATAGGGCAGACGGTCTCTCCCTCTTTGACCTCACCTCTGGTGCCTCTCCTGCCCCTGCTGCTGATGCCGACGCCACTGTTCGCTCACAGTGGGCCACACGCGATGCTGCTGCACGTCTTGCTGTGCGTCGCCACCTGCCTACCTCTGAGCGTGCGCACTTTAGCCAGTACAAGAGTGCTCAGACCTTGTACACCGCTGTAGTTGCGCGCTACTCCTCCCCTGCCACTGCTGCACTGAGCCGCCTCATGCTACCGTACCTCTTCCCTGACCTTGCTGTCTTTCCCACAGTCGCTGACCTCATTACGCACCTCCGCACTAGTGACACTCGCTACCGCGCTGCGCTTCCTGCTGAGTTCTGCGCCAAGAACCCCCCCCCCCATGTACATCACCCTCTACTACATAGTCACCCGGCTCCCTGACTCCCTTCGCGTAGTCAGGGACCACTTCCTCTCAGTTTGCCCCACCACTCTCACCGTTGACCTCCTCGAGGAGGCCCTCCTAGCAGCGGAGAAGAGCATAGTCGCTGTAGGAGCCTCTCGTGGTGACCCTCGCACCCCCGTCTTTGAGGGGTGTTCCCCCTCCCCCCTTTTGCCCTCTGTTGCCTCTGCTGCTGCGGCCGACCTCGTTGGTTTCGAGTCGGTCGGCGCCGCGTCTGCCCCGAGCGGGAGACGCCGCACCGGCAAGGGCAAGGGGGGCAAGGGTGCTGGAGGGGCTGGCGGGGGTGGCGGGGGTGGCGGTGGAGGCAGTGGAGGGGGTGGGGGTGGTGGTGGGAGTGGTGGCGGGGGTGGAGGTGTC